AACGTTTGAACTTCATTTAGACCACAATCTTAAAGTGTTAAATTTAATTCTAGTTGCTTAAGCAGTTGTGGCGAAGGTTTGCGGCAGCTAAGAACTAGTTAGTCAAGATGCTGTAACCATTTTTTGATATACATGTTTTTGGAATCTTTACTTTTGTTTTCCACTGTTTTTTTTTTTCATTGTCCGTTTGAGTACCACTCTTTACTTGGAAGTTTTACATGTTGCGGGACATGAGGCCTGGCATCAGCGAATGCTTTAATCTGCATAATGTTGCAATTAACCGCACTTGTTTGTTTTCTCTTGTATAGTGTGTATGATCTCCCGTTTTAGGATTTTTCTGGTGCTCTACATAATTAATTTGTTGCTGTCGTATTAATGAATGAACAAGGCCTCTTTTCAATGCATTGTAAGCAAAGTCATACGCATCTTGTAACAAGTCAAACTTCATTGAACCACAATTTATAAGCAGTTGCGTGGAGGATTGATCAGGAGGTAGCATCGTCTCTGTAGATCATAGCTATTTGGTTTTTATTTCAGATAACACGTTTTTCTGGATGTAAATCTGTCAGCCATGCTAGTCTGCTAGTAGACTTTGTGGATGTGCATTGTACTGTTTAGTGAATGCAGTGTAATGTTTTGTCTTGAAAGCTAGCAAGGTTATTTTAGTGAAAGTGCGCAGTAGTTGCGCGCTTGGTTTCCCATGCAGTTGGTTCAAATTTCGTGCTTGCCTTTTAGCTCTATATGGTTTAATGCTTTGTGCATATCTTAGCAGCATTGTATGTTTTTTTTTTGCAAAATTATGCACGTATGAAGACGTATACCAACATACTGGAAAGGAAGTGTTTACGTCCTCAATAAGATCCATTCAAAGTTCTCGGACACTTGCTTTTTGCGTTGTGAATGTTACTTGTGTGAGCTGGCTAGATATTTAGCGGCACCTACTCTCTTTCCATCTAATTGGGCACCTGCTTGTATCGCCTTAAGAGAACTTGTCCTTATCACTGCTTAGGTGACATATCGGGATTGTAAGGATTTTCACTTCATGCAATCCAAACTTTCAAATTATCCAAAACAGAATTTTTATCAAGTTCCATTCAAATCTAATGCGCTCGAACTCAGCTATGGTAATAACTACGAATTTATGATACTTCTTTAAAATGAGTTAACAGGCAGTTTTTCTGTTGCTTTTTTTATCTTTTACGGATCGAGTGTGCTAGATAGCAACACAAGCTTCAACCTATGCGAAATTGTTTAAATCTTTTTCAGATCACCTTGGTACTAGAGAGAACGAATTGCAGCGGTGCGATTTCTTTGTCCCGGCACATGTCTGTTTTTCTTTGCTGGGGAGAAAGGCTGGACACGCTTGCGCTCAGCGAGAAGCTTATTGGGTGACTCGGCAAATAGGGGCTTCACAGCAAAGATCTTTCTTCTCTGCTCATTTCTGCTTGTTGGTTTTGTTTGAAAGCAACTACGTGATACAATAAGAAGTCAGAAATCACGCTTGACTAGGCCTGTTTTGAATCTTTTCTTTTGCCGCACTCTTTTGCGCGAATGAATCCCTGCTAGCAATGTTATCTTTCAACTCGTACTGATCACATAATTGCGTGGATTTACAGTTGTCCGAAGTTCTCGGAAAAAAGTATTGTACGCAACTCCGAGTAAATACATCCTTTAGTTGGAAGCCACTTTCTGAGATTAGTTTATAGTTTATTTCCCTTTCCAATAGCATCTGAATTTGAAAATCGCTGAACAGTTGTGTACTCGTTTGGTTTTCTTTGAACGGTGCGGCTCGACTTTTTCGAATAGTATGCCTCGCGATCTCTAATTATCACTGAAATAGAAATGGCTAATTCCAAAGAGATTTCGATATAAATGGAGTTCTTTTTAGGCTTGACTGAGGCGTCACTTTGTAAGCGACCTTGTTTTCTGACAAATTGGGATGAGCAGACTATCTGGAGGCACAGGGGAAAAAAGTGTTGCGACTTTCGGCAAATTGAGAGCTTTAAAGTTGATATTTCATACAACGAAGTTCAAGTGGCTAAAAAGAAGAATTAGTTTTCTTAGTTCAATGGTCGGTAGGTCAAAGTTTGGCCTGCGGTATGATGGCCCATTTGGTAGATATTTTCTTCAGCGAAAACACTTGTCTTCAGCTGCTGCGTCACATGCGAACAGATACAATAATCACTTTTAATGTCATCTTACTTTAACATTTTTGATGAGGGATAGTGCACGTTGCTCATCTCGGTAAGTTATTGAACATACACTTTGGCTTTATAATTCTTTTAGTCTTAAAGGTTATCAAACTGGGAGAGGAAAGTTTTTACCGCTATTGTTCGGCTGAGCTATACTCTTTCGGAGGGTGAGGGGTGTTAATAAGGGTGAAAAAATGAAAACGTGGGAGCGGGATGAGGTATTGACAGAAAGAACACTTAGTGAATGTATTTGTGGGTACTATATTTTATGCGAAGTCTAGTCCCCTTCACCAAACATTGGGTAGAATTTCGATCACTGACATTTGCCCACGTTCGACTTTTTCTGAATCTTGGCATCCTGGAAACTTGAAGTGTGGCTGTTTTAGCAATGGACCAAGATTTTAACTATCCTTTATTGGCTAACGTTTTGGCGGTTTCGCCTTCGTCAGAGTCTGGAAAGTCGAATACATAAGCGACCTGTTCTCTCAGACGCCAACAAAAGCACAGGATAACACTGACATTTGCAGCTGTCATTGTTGTCTGTTTCCAAAAGAGAACAACCATGCTGGTAACAGTTCTTCCAGTAATGAGCAATTACTAAAATTATCGGAGCTTATTTTCTTTGTATAGACCCAGGCCCCCGGAAAAATCTTCTGAACTAAGTCAGCCGTTTTTCAACAGGCACTATTTTTGTCGGTGCTGCACTTCCGCTGCTAGCGTCAGAGGTAACAAGGTGAGCTAAAATTTCTAATAATTATCTCCTAGATCGAACCTGCAGCATCAAGGAACCGCTAATGAAAGCTCATTGTAAGCAGTAGTTGACTAGTTGTGTAATTTCCTCATCCAGTTGAAGATAACGACTGGGAAAGCGTATAACACGACTGGCTGCTTTAACAGTTTTAAAACTCCCCTAGTTTCTCTCAACGTAATCTATTAATCTTTTTTCTTCGATGCTAATACCTATACCCGAAATCGTTCCCCACTAAAATACAAGCAAGGATTTCTGCCCATCCAATCCTCATTTTTCTGTCATTTTCATTTTGATGATCCAAAATGAGAATACAAAACCTATATCCCGTTCTTACTAAGACGTGCTGTGTAGCATGGAAAAAGATATACGCATTTTTGATGTTTTGCGTTTAGAAGAGACCAGGCAAGGAAAGATATTGTGCTTAAGTTGCTAACTCTCTCATAACTTGCTTATGCTTTTTCTAACCATTTATGGATTTCGAAAGCTTCACAAACAGAACTTGTACTCACTTGAAGGTAGTGAGGACTAAAGCTGTTGTTGAGGTTTTTTTTTAAAGTTTTTAAAGGAATAGAGGAGGGAGAGGCGGGGAGAGAGAAGGGGGAAGGGGTATCCTA